CTTCTTCTCTGGACTTGTAAGAACAATAATGACACAATTATTTATATCACCATCGATCGTTAGAAATTATAAATCTTATATTCTGAATCAATTTTTAGTTTCATATAATTTAACATGTTACCGTAGGTTGAAAATGGTGAATTGGTTATAATTATGATTAAAATGGTTGTAGGAACAATGACACATACGATTATTTATTCCGCTATTGCTTATTAGAATTTATGAATTTCAAATTTTGAATATATAATTGAACATGTTATTATAGGTTATCAGTCTTATTTTCTACATAATGATTGAGAATGGTGAAGTGATTGATTATAATTATGATTAAAATAATTGCAGGAACAATGACACAATTATTTGATGTGGCACAAGAAGAGTGTTCAGTCCTTTTTCTGTGGACTTATTTGGCTGCAGCATTTGCACTTACAATTTGGTCCACTATATTCATGTGGCTTTTGTTCTAACAAATATTGTATGATATTATTAATCAATAGTCGATGCATCGCACCAAACGGGTTAGACATGTGGTTAATGTATTAAACGAGATAAGACATGTGGATACTGAATACTAGTGTGCAATTATTATTATTTATATATTTTTTTATTTTCCCAATTTTAATTTTTTCGATATTAGTTTTAGCTCAAGTATTTTTCAATTTTAGTTAGAAGTTTTAAGTTCCAAAATTATAGCACAACATGAAGTACATATATACTAATGGTATCAAAGAAGGTAGAAGCAGTGCTTCAGTCTAGTCATTTATCCCTTGATACCATTAAAAGTAGGGCAAATTACAGAAATCACATACTTTTAAGGCAAAATTACACTTTATCCCTTAAAAGTTTATAATTACAGAAATCCCTCATTTTCGCGCATCAGATTAGTGTATCAGCGCATATATTATTGTATCTCGCGCATCAGATTAATGTATCAACGCTTATATTATTGAATCTCGCGTATGTATCAGCACTTATATAACTCTGATACATTAATCTGATACGCGAGATACAATAATATAAGCGCTGATACATTACTCTGATGCGCGAGATACAATAATATAAGCGTTGATACACTAATATGATACGCGAAAATGAGGGATTTTGGAGATTTGTAAAACTTATAGGGGATAATGGTAATAAGTAAACTAAAAAGTGGGATTTCTGTAATTTTTCCTTAAAAGTATATACATAATTTGATGACATCAAGGAGGAAGAGACAGTGTTTCAGTAAAAAAGACTGTTCAATTACTGTTTGATACCATCAGAGTATATAGATACCATTAGAGTGTATATATACTCCGATAGTTTCAAGGATGAAGAAACAGTGGTTCAGTGAATTGAACAAGGGGACACTCGGATAAATAATTTGAGAAGTGTGTGTGTGTCCAATCAAAATAAATATATTGAATTGAATCTAATTTAAGGAAATACTTTGTCTTACGAGTCCAATTTATATACTTTTCCCTTTTATATAGTGACTAAATATTAACAAGTGGTCCAAATTGCTAAGTCCCATTAGTGTAAGAACCCACTCCATGAACATAACAGGCCTGGGCTTAAACAACACAACAGAAAGCCCAACTCATACCTAACACTTTGTTTGGATGGTCGTATTTTATTGTACTGTATCATCTTGATAAATACAATAATTAGACAGACTATATCATAATCTATCTTTATATAATGTCTCACATAGCAATTTGATGACAAACTTTTTAAAAAAGTAAGGTACAGAGTAAAGTTATTAGAAATGGGTAAGCGAGAATGAAATAGGATTATATGATTATTCGAGAATAAACAAAGATAAAATGAGAAGAAAAATAAGGTGATAATATAATAAAATAATATTTTTTCTAAAGTGGAGCCTTGACATAATTGATTATAAATTATCATTTATTGGCTTCTATAGCCATTATACGTTGCATATTTTGATTTGTCCATCTGTTATGTAAAGAAAAAGACCTGCACAAATTATTGATCATGTTCTATTTTCACATGTTAGAAATCATGGATTCATAGTCAATTCAGCGGACAAGATTTGCCTACTTTTATTTTGTAACCTTTTTGTCGGCTCATTCGATAGAGCGTATAAAAATAGTATTAAATAAATTATATTTGTAATATTGAGATTAGTTATGTTGATACTATTTTCTATGTATGGATTGATTTGGTATACTCATGTGTTAATAGCTCATGCTTATTTATGTGTTAACAACCTATGTACTGTTAACACCATAATTTATTATGTATTAGTCGTATAATACTGAATCTAATATATACATTAATTATACATAGATTAAAAGTTCTATAAAAAAGAATTAAATAATTTCATGACTAATACATGTATTCTCTAATACATTTTATCTAACAATCCCTTATTGTTGTATATATTTCTTTTGAGGGGATGGTTCATTGACAATAATCTTTTTACTCTAATAAAGATATTTTATCTTTTCAAATTTTATTTATAAAATTATACGGAGTATATTATTTTTATATTTTATGTGGCTAATAATTTTGTTTGAACCTACAAAAGATTTGGTTGAAGTTCTAGTGGAGTCATGTTTGACAGGTTTCAGTCTCTCATTTGATGATACTTTCACTTACCATAAAAATAGTCAATAAATGATAAAGCAGGGCAAACTTTATACCACAAGTTACAAATTTGGTTCACTTTTTTTTTTTTGGCTAATAATTTTGGTTCACGCTTATTTTTTTAATGTTAAAGAAATTGACTTACAACTACAATAAATTTATTAAGTGGAGTTTGAAAAGAGTAGACTATACTTATTTTTATTTTGAGAAGATAAAAAGACTATTTGTTATAAGACTCTTGGTCATAAACGAATGAAAAGGCAAATGAGGCATGTGAATTCGTGATTTTCACATAAAATTAGATATTTGATGTATATATTTTTAAGAATTGATAATGAATTATTTGATGACACTTATAATACAAGAAAGCTAAATGATGATACTTGATTGAATGTTAAGTTATTTATTCGAGAATTATGAATTAATTTTCACTTAATACATTTTTTCCTTCTTTCTTTTTTGCCAAATATATTGTTTGTCATGTTTTTGGCTTGAAAATATCTTTATTATTGTATTTTTGACTCAAAATGGCCTTCAACTATCAAACTGGCTCAAAAATACCCTTCTTGTGAATGATTGTTTCAAAACTAGGAAAAATGGATCAAGTTTTCTCTATAAACCCGAATCATTTGCATATCTTCTTTTAATTTATCCAAATCATCTATGTCCCACTTCTCGCATCTTAACCTATATGGAGGTGACTCCTACCTTATGTCGAATATCTTTATTCCTAATCTTATATGTCTATAAATCTATCTCAACATTCTCATCTTTAATTTGCTACTATCATCTCTTGAGTATGAAAATTATTGACTGGTCAACACTTTGACGCATAGAGTATGATTGCTCTAACCACTACTTTGTAGAACTTATCTTTAAGTCAGTTTGGTGAAATATTCTTGTCATACAAAACACTAAATATATGTCTCCATTTCATCCGCCCCGTTTTATACGATGCATGGCATTTTTATAGTATCATTGACTAATGAGTAATTTTTGAACAAAAAACATTAATGATATCAATACAATATATATATACTAATTTAGTATCAATTAAGCGATATTATCAGTCGTAGTGATATCAATACAGTATATACCACAAAACACGTCATGTTTATTTAACACTATATATATATATATATATATATATATATATATACTAATTTAGTATCAATTAAGCGATATTATCAATCATAGTGATATCAATACGGTATATACCACAAAACACGTCATGTTTATTTAATACTATATATGGTATTTAATACATGGACAAAATGAGATCCATTAGGTATTGTTAGGTAGAATACCTATCGCATTTTTAATTTCACTAAAAGTTAACAAGTGTCTTATGATTTAATGTGATATATGAATATACATAAATACATTAAAGGATGAGACCCTTTTTAATAGAATATTTTTCTATTGCTAAATTTGAATCTTAAATTAAAAAAAATTAGTTGGTAGACGATTATTTGCAAATGGATAACTTATTGATAATTTTAGATATCAAAAACATTATTATATCTTCCTTCCTTATCAGCCACAAAACAAAAAGAGCAATTTTTTTAAAAAAACTTCTTTTTGCAAACATTTTTTTTTTTTAATTAAAATAAGATACGTCTACCATCGATATTTTCTTGAATATTTCTTTATTCAAACAAACATCTAAAAAAAAAAAAAAAAAAAAGAGACGTGTTCGAACTTTTTATCTCTAATACAAAGAAATCTAAAATAACAAAACATCTTATGGGTCATTTGAAAAGCGACATAAAATAAATAAAGATATTTTATGTTTTGGATATCTTTCGAATTTATTTTAGTGGACGTTTAATCATGTTTCATGTTTCATTGTGAAATTTTTTAAATTTTTTTTTTTTTGTTTTTCTAAATAAAAAATAATATTTAAAAACTGAAATTATATATGATCATGAGTACAAATTAAATTCGTTTTCGACTTTTTTAAAGTAATTTGAAATGAAAAAAATGAAAATATAAGTTTGTTATTTTTCAAATTTTTGAAAATTTTAGAATTCTACTTCAAGTTGAATTCCTACCTTTCATGATTAAACGCATTTTTCAAAATAAAGGTAAAATTAATCCCAAAATATTTTTCGAAAACTATTATTTTTCTCTCATGTATCAATCGATACCTTATCGTCCCCTTTCAAGTTTTTGTCGTTTTTGAAAAGTTCCCTTCAATTTTTATTTTCCTATTTTGATAAGATAACCTACAGCTCACCAACTACCCCAAATTTTCCTAAGAAAAAAACTTCTTGAAACCTTCATATTCTCTCTAATCTCCTGAATTTTCAAAAAAAATAATCCAATTTTTTTTCAAAACCCTACAACCAATTCCAAATTTGAAAAAATCTTGAATAAAAGATTTGATTTTTATCTAATTTTTGCCCGTAAAATTGTGATTCTTGATTTTTGATCATAGTATCCATATGGGGTTTGAAAAAGATAAAGCAAGTTCATCCTCTCATGTTTTACAAATCCCAAGAGAAGATACACCATTATTATCCAAGAATCATCAACATCTTTCTTCACCTTCAAAGACATTTGCTAATGTATTCATAGCCATAGTTGGAGCAGGGGTTCTTGGTCTTCCATATACATTCAAGAGAACAGGATGGGTAATGGGTGCTCTTATGTTATTTACAGTTGCATTTTTAACTTACCATTGTATGATGCTTCTTGTTTATTCTAGAAGAAAAATTGAATCCCATCTCAAGATTTCACAAATTTCATCTTTTGGTGATTTGGGGTTTGCTGTTTGTGGACCTTTTGGTAGGTTTGCTGTTGATGCTATGATTGTTCTGTCACAAGCTGGTTTTTGTATTAGTTACATAATTTTCATAGCAAATACTTTAGCATATTGTTTTAATTACTCTAAAACTAATCCAAATCCTAAAATCTTTGGGTTTCCACCTAAAGCTGTGTATATTTGGAGCTGTTTCCCTTTCCAGTTGGGATTGAATTCAATTCCTACTCTTACCCTTTTAGCCCCTTTGAGTATTTTTGCTGATGTTGTTGAATTAGGAGCTATGGGGGTTGTGATGGTTAAAGATGTGATGATTTATGTAAAGAGTAGTCATGTTCTTGAAGCTTTTGGTGGATTTAGTGTGTTTTTCTATGGTCTTGGTGTAGCTGTTTATGCTTTTGAAGGTGTTGGAATGGTATTGCCTTTGGAAGCTGAGACAAAAGATAAGGCAAAATTTGGGAAAATCTTGGGCTTTTCAATGGCTTTGATATCTCTAATGTATGGTGCTTTTGGTGTATTGGGATATTTCGCTTTTGGTGAAGATACAAAGGATATAATTACGACGAATCTTGGACAAGGATTGCTTAGCAGCCTAGTTCAAATTGGTCTTTGCATAAACTTGTTCTTTACTTTCCCTCTGATGATGAATCCAGTTTACGAAGTAGTTGAAAGGAGGTTTTGTGAAGGGAGGTACTGTGTTTGGATAAGATGGATTATGGTTTTGTTAGTGACGATTGTGGCGTTGTTTGTGCCAAATTTTGCTGATTTCTTGTCATTGGTTGGGAGTAGTGTGTGCATAATTCTTGGCTTTGTGTTGCCTGCTTTGTTTCATCTGATTGTGTTCAAAGATGAGCTAAGATGGCATAGTTTGGCTTGTGATGGTGCAATTATTGTAGTGGCTGCTGTTTTTTCAGTCTATGGAACCTACTCTTCATTGCTGGAGATATTTGTTGGAGCCAAGGAATAAATTGTTTGTCTTCCTTTTTAATGTACAAGTTCAAGAGAAAGTTAAGTGTGTTTGGGCGAGAGTATACTAAGATGGCCGACCCTCGGAAGTCCTTGTGTTGCATCCCTCAGTCTCTCTACTTTCACTAGGTAGGGGTAAGGTTTGCATACACCAAACCCCACCTGTGATATTGCTATGGATATATTATTATTGTTGTTGTTTATCACGCATTATGGTTGTCCGTTTATTTTTCGTCCTTCCTACCATTTGTAAATTTGCTTCCATGTAAGGCCATTGATAATAGGCTTGGTACAACTATGGAGGTTGTGTGAGGAAGATGATCATGTCTACTTAGTATTCACATTGCAAATGGTCATAATTTGCTCAAATGGCCATTTGGTTCTCTTCTTAGTACTATTTATATAATAATACTATATTATGTTTTGAGAATTGTCCTAAATGTGTTTATTTATTTTTAGTTTAAGTTGCGACTCTTGATACAACTTGCTTGGGATTGAGGCATAGTCTTATATTTATTTTTGATGAAGTTGTGCCTCTTGGATAGTAAGTATGGATATATCTGACCTCGACTTGCTTGAGATTGATGCGTAATTGTTGTTATAGTGAAGTTGGTGCCGAATTTTGTTGATTTCCTCTCATTAGGCGATAATGAAGTTGACTCTTGAACAATGAGAATTCATATTGCCGATTTTAACTTATTTCGAATTGAGACATAGTTATCGTCGCTCTTATTCACTCCAAAATAAGAATCGTTTGTTGCTAACTATCATGTAAAGAGAACGCTCTTTAGGTCTAACTTGGCTCCAAAATCAGCTTGTCGAGAATTGTTTAAGATCATATAAAGAGATAAGAATTCAGAACATATACTTACTAGAATGCCAACATTGATGGTGTTGGCTACAATAACATGTCATGATTTACAGTTAAATTGACATGAGGTAACCACTTTTAATGGTACTATTTAAAATATAGCCACATTTACAACACAATTTAGTTACTCAGCCTTCTTCTGTTGTGCTTCTTCTTTACTCTTCCCTATAGCAAAGACCTAGTTCTTCAAAGTTCAATCATCCTTCCAGCCCTGTAATTCATCAATGGCTTTGAAACAGAAGTACTCGTCCTGGTCGGCACTGATATAATGAGCTCTCTCGACTACTCCTGTTTTAGAAAGTTGAACGTCTTATTCTTATGAATGACTTGTGTGAATATAAGCCCCGAGCAAGAATGGGTTATCTTTTAAATAACAACCCTAAAAGTGGCTATTCGTCGCCTTGATTTACACAAATATGATCTTTCAGTACCACAGTTTAACTTTTGACCCCGTTTAAACAAGTTTTGCAAAAATAGATTCGCGGTCACATACATCATAACCACTTGCATTAAGGTCGTTTGCACTTTTAACCATCTCATTTGCCCTACTAGGCATAAGTTCGATTGCTATAAGACAAAAGTTAAAAAGACCAACTCATTTGAAAGACAAACCGTGCAATTTTATGATTAGATTATAAGTTGCTCAATGCATTGGTTCAAGTACACAAACTCTGAAGAGATTGAATTACTAATTCAAGAAAAAACATCATGCTTACAATGGATTAATGGTGTATTTGTTTATAATCCTCTTAAGACACCAAAAAACAAATAGTGCTACTTCTTTAACATATCTACATCAGAAATAATGTTACACATTGAGATTAATGAAATGAAGAGATATAAATTAGTCTCCAGACATCTCCTGCTAACAAAAAGTATCTGGAAATGGAACTCCAGAAGCTAACAAAATCCTGTCAATACAATGGAAATCAAAATCAAAATCTCAGTCTCATCTGATCTGTAGAGCGAAAACTCGATGGTAAAGGAGAAGACAACTCTATAGAACCTAGAACATGAAATAAGAACTACTTAATCGCGATGGTGGATGAACCATCTTTTATAGCAAGACACATTTGGTTGCCAAGAATAGGTAGAGATAGAATCTCAAGAGGCATTAAGTTGATCCACGAAGTAACATATTGTACATTCTGTAATTGAGGCATTCAGGAGCCCGTGTAATCCCACAAGTGGGGTCTAGGGAGGATAAGACGCTAGCAGCCTTACCCCTACCTTTATGGGGTAGAGAGGTTGTTTTCGATTGACCCTTGGCAACCCTCCTCCTTTACCCGGACTTGGGACCAGCAATGTGAACGAGCTCACAAGGGCGGAATTAATCGAAGCATTCAGGAGCCAAGGAGCCACTTGCTGAAGCAATATAGGAAACATATTATGTGCAAAACAAATATGCAAGAAGTGAAATATCAAGATATACACGTTAATTGGGCTGGAAGAGGCGATATATGTATAAAAAGAAGTAAGCAAGAAAAAACACGAAAAAGACTACCTCAGACTATAAGCCCCATCATGGTAGCCGCCTCACTTGAAACTAAAATATGAAGACTGTGATTGCATCAACTTATTGTTCAACGCAAGTGGATGACTTAAAAGTTTGGCACTTCAATGTAGATGACCTATCAACTGGAAACATAGGCTCATTAATAGCAGTAACTTTGTTGATCTTCTCATCCGGTGAAGATGAACTTTAGAAATTCATGTCCTTTTTGGGTTCACTTTATCCCTGAGACTGCAATTACTGAGGGGTAACGTTTTCTGCTTCATCCGCCCCTTCTTTTTGTCAACATTACATGTATCATTTGGTGATTCCCCGAATTCCTCCTTTGAGTTCATTGGTTGTCCTTTGCCATTTTCCATCTTTCTGAGATCCGCCTTGTTGAATTTCGCTAGGCTCAAGTCTACTCTAATTAGTTCTTTCTCCTGGCTAGGACCATTTGATGCCTTATTTCCAGCAATATCAATCCCATTGCTCGTGGAAGGTCGATTTGCTTCCCACGACGTACTTCCATTCTGAAGCTTAGCATTTTCGGAAGGAGAAGATCTTTTAAGCCTCTTATGTTTTTGATTTCTTGAGTCAGAGGTTGAGTTCTTCGAAAGTCTTGGAGAGCTGTTTATTGTCCTACTTAACGTCCGAGCTAAATCTTCATCCGTTGTACAATTCTTGATCCCTTTATACTTATTCTTCTTCTTCTTTGAGTACTTGTCTCTATCTGTAACCTCACCAGAAACAGTAGCAACCAACTCCATAGCACTCTTAGCAGCAGCCATGGCCTCTGATGCTTTCACAGCTTTCTCTTCAGCAACAGCTCTTGCAGCTTTTGCAAGCTCAACAGCTTTTAAAGCTGCCACTCTCGAGGCCTCGACAATCTCCTCAATGGAACGATTACAATCATCCGAGTGAAACTTCAACAGGTTATTAAGACGGATATCGAACTCAAAATCTGTAACATCATCAGTAGAAGAGGATGGACTACATGGATTATCATCAAAAATCTGTTTTTTCAATCCTGCTAGAAGCCGTTTACGCGGAGGCAAAAGCACATCTGAATCCAAGTGATTGATGTCACATGTATTTCCTTCCATCTTTTTCTTTACATCTACACATAAGCTTATTGCTTCAACAATCCCTTAAACTACAAAGAACAGTAAAGTTCATACCTTTAGCATGAAGTATATGACTAATCGTCTCTTTAGAAAAACTTTTAAAAAAATGTGTTTTTTTTCCGCGAGAAGTGCTTTTCGGAAAAGTACATTTGGAGAAAAACAATTCATGTTTAGCTAATCAATTTCGAAAAACACTTTTTACCAATATCAAAGAAGTAATTTGTGCTTGGTCAATGTTCCAAAAGTGCTTCTGAGTGCTACTAATCAAAAACACTTATATTTTCCCTAAAAATCTCACTTAATGCCTCGACTTTAAATAAACACTTTTGGCTTCACAGAAGATTCGTCAAACAGGCTATAGAACAACTCAATTTCACTTTTTTTTTTGTTTTATAACCGTGGTGTTCAGGCTAGCTTGCACGCACCTCCACTAATTCCATATTTGTCACCTCACACTAGCAACAGCTACCATGTAACTCTCTCCACGACTCCACCAAAGCTAAAACATATGAGAAGAAATCAACTTATGTTTTCCTTTTTTTTTGTCTTTGCTACGGTTGGATTTGAACGTAAGACCTCATGATTCTTAACTCAGTTTGAACGTAAGACCTCATGATTCTTAACTCAGTTCATTGACCACGAATTTTACATTTCTGGTTTTTATTTCCAAAACCCACATCAGATTTTACAGAATCTTTCCCTAGGAACACATTAAACGCAACCACTTACCAAATTGAATCAAAATCAAACAACACAAGTACAAATTCAATGAAACCCCATAAATAGGAAGAATAAAACAGAGAAAAAAACAAGAATCATTCAAACTCAGGTCAGTGTACCAATTTTCAACATTCCAAGATTTAAAAACAGAAAATTTTACCAAAAATTTAGCATCTTGATTTAAAGGGACTATAAAAAAAAATCTAAATTATGCTTATAGCTCCTTAAATATGTGTGTATTCATAGTTTTTTGAATATATAAAAAGTAGCTAAAATTTTAATGCAATGTGAGAATCATAGAAGGAGAAAAAAATACCTGATCTTGTCATCTTAGAGGATACAAGAAAAGAGTTGAAATTAGGGTTTTCAGAGAAAAGGGAAGGATATATGAGGAAGATCATAATAAGGCAGAAAAAGGTTCAAATTTACTCTCTTTTTTTTTTTTAAAGAAACACCCCTGAACTTAGGGCTGAGCATAAAATACCAAAAACCGAATTATCGGATCGAATTGAAACTTTTGGTTATTTGGTATGGTATTCGAGAGTAAAATTTTAGAATTATGGTATTCGAATTTGGGTTTGGTATGAGATATTAGTACCATTTGGTATTCGTATTTTCCGAATACCAAATTATTTACTTAATGAAGATCATATATCAAGATATTCATTACTCATTTGTACAAGTCCAAAGAGAAAGTTAAAGAATATGCATGAATAATCCAAATACATGTCTTTTAGTTATATCAATTTGTTTCTTGATGTCTTCTTACTTGTTGATCTTCTATTATATCTTGCGTCCACATTAAAAAATAGAAATGATTGGATAAATAGTATTAACTTTGTAATACAATTGGCTATAACTTCAATACGGTATTACAGAATATCGTACCAAATCGAAGTTTAATTTACCGTTTTCCGAATTACCAAACCGAAATTTAAAAATTTGATATTTGATATCTACTTTTAACTACTAATTACCGAATTACCAAACCCGAAATTTAGAAACCCGAACCGAATACCGAATGCCCATCCCTACCTAAACTATGGCGAAATTGTTATCTACTTATTTAAATGACATAATACATAAATACGTCTTTTTAATTTTGGTTTCAACTCACATCTAGGCATAATACATAAATGTGTCATTTAACTTGATCGCATTTCACATTTATGCGCTCCAATTTTAGGTGTGCACAAGTTGACACTTAAACTTGTATAACGTTGGACAAGTAGACACATGAGTTCTATGTGACATAATACACGTAGGACACAAATTGTCATGTAGGATGCCACGTGGGAGAGAGCATAAATGTGAAATGAAATCAAGTTAAAAGGCATATTCATGTACTATGTCTGACATTTATGTCTTCTAACTTTGAATGTGCATAAATAAATAGTTAAATTTCTATAAAGTTAAATAAATAGATACACATCATATGATGACATAATACATGTAGAACCTAAGACCTAAAGTTAAATTTGTTTTGATATTGATTTTTAACTTGCACCTAAGACCTAACCATTAAAAAAATTGTATATATCTCTCACTTCAGACATGCAAGTATCTAAAGTTAGGATTGATTAAACTAAACGTCATAGATAATATTTGAAGTTAAATACGAATAAAGTTTATAAAAAAAAATGATTGAATTAGTTATTGTTTTTCACTTTTTTGTCATATATAGAATTAACCAAATACTGGATAAACGTAATTCTAAACTTTATATAGAATTAACAAAACCACCAACTCTTATTTGTAAAAAAATCATATTACAAAAAAATAGATATTAAACTGTTACTATATTATTATTTTTAACAATATCTCTTTTCAACTAATCCTCATATATATATTTTCCCTAACCTGTGTGGACCACAAATTAGGTATATGATGATGATTTTATTTATGCTACAAACATTTTCTACTCCAATTAATTGAATAGATCAATTTTGAAAGATATTTCCAGATTTGATACATCTATTTAACCAACACTAAATCATTGTTGATTAAATTTGCACAAGGAAATAATATTGCAGACGATTTGCGTGAGATACAGTTGAACTGACTTGTATTATGTGATGTAAGACGCGTGTATCTACTTCTTCAAGTTTATACAAGCTTAAGTTTTTGCTTATGTACGCCCAAAGTTTGAGGCATATATATATATCAGTTGAGGCCAAGTTAAAGGGCACGCTTATGTCAAATCTATCAGGCTAATCAAAGTTTTATCTTTTGCATATATGGTAGGCATAGTACATAACGTGCCCTTTAACTTGACTTAATCTGACAATAATGTCCTTCAATTTTGGGTGTGCACAAGTAGACACTTAAACTTGTATAGAATTGAAAAAGTAAACACACACATCTTACTTGACGTCCTATGTGGCAATAGCGTCTTACGTGTATAACGCCACATATGAAACGTGTATCTGTTTGTTCAAGTTTATACATGTTTAAGTATCTAGTCCACACCCAAGGTTGAAGGGAACAAATAACAGCTAAGGCCAAGGTTAAATGACATATTTATGTATTATGCCTATTTGGAAGGGATAAGGCACAAATACCCTCTAGACTTTGACCGAAATTCCAGAGACATACCTTAACTAAACCAAGGTCCTATTACCCCTCTGAACTTATTTTTTTTTGTAATTTTGTACACCTTTTGTCTTACGTGGCACACTCCGTGACTCCACGCAATTTAGGCGCGTGAGAGATATTTGGATGCCACTTAAGCCAAAAAGGTGCACAAAATTACAAAAAAAATGGGTTCAGGGGGTAATAGGACCTTAGTTTAGTTAAGGTGTGTTTCTGGAATTTCGGTCACAGTCTAGGGGGTACTTGTACCTTTTCCCTATTTGGAATAATATTTATGCTTAAATCTACTTATACAACTTCAAAAGTGAAAAGTGAATCGGAAAATAAGTTATAAACTATGATTGCATATCATTGATCATATATACAAGAAGAAGATATAACATATTTATGGTTGCATATCATTGATCATTTCATGAATAAGATCACCAACAATTTGGTATTCAACATCTTTTCCTAGAGCATTAACATCTTCATCAACTAATCCGTCCCAACGCGTGCATTGCAAGTCTCGAGTTAGTATGGTTTCGAGGGATTGAGATGACATATCTGATGAAATTCGAGCAATTTCCCATACACATTCTAATAACTTATTTCCCCGCGGAGCTCGTGGAGTAGGACTAATAGTCTTTCTCATAGAAGTGCTTCCAAGTACACTTGGAAGCACTTCATTCAAGAAATCACACAATAACTTGTGATTCAACTTCTTGGATTGATGATCAGTGCTTGATCCTTCATTGTAATAGTTTATCTTTTGCCTCTTGTAAGACTCTTCGACTTCTTCAAAGACTTGGTTGCTGATGGACTTTCCTAGAGGATCCCATTTCGATAGATATTTATCACATGAACCATCGTATAAACCAGAAGCAACAAGAAGATCTCTAACGAATGCTTCAGCTGGATCGTCAATCTCCATTACGATCTCCTCTTCAATAGGCTGCTCGTCGATCATTGTCTCCTCAGAGTCATAAGTTTCTAGCTGATTCAATTGCCTCCTTAGCTCTGTGTCATCAAAAGTTTCAAAATTAGCATTCACTTTGTTACAACTACTAGAACCAAATAGGCTTTCTACATATGCATCATCTATAGAACGACGATTTTTATCAGCTGTAGCAAAGAATGTGTTGTTCAACTCGAGTTTCCTTATTGTTCCTTACTTCTAGTTTCCCTATTTCTAGAGGAAGAAAGACGCTAATTGAACATTAAATCCATTCAGATGAATGGAACAATATCATACTCCCTCTATATCAGTTTGTTTGTCTTACTTTCCTTATTAGTCTATTTAAAAAAGAATGTCTCTTTTGGTACATTCTACATATCTTTAGTTTAAGACCACAAGAATCAGAAGTCTTCTTTACTTTCTTAAACTCCGTGTCAAGTCAAAACCAGACAAACAAATTAAACTGGATCGGAGGGAGTAGTTAATGTTTCATGTTATGACAAGATTCGAACTTTTAAGTCCATCTCATATCACATTGTAACCGCGCCTAAACTACAAATGTACTAAAGTTAACATAAGTTTTTACTCGTACCGTTCAGATTAGAGCTGATCTCTTTGAAAACATGAGGTATCTCACTATCATCGAGCGGATTTACATCTGAAATTGATGATGATGATGGACTGAAATAATCTGTTTGCCTCCAAAATTCTTCATTGCTTGTGCTACATACAGATGCAGGGCTTGGTGGCACCTCAGTAGAATTCTCCTAGGACCAAATAAGATACTAAAGTTATATATCAATAACATATCAACATAAAAACTAGTTCTGTTACAAAAATGAAC